AAAGCTTTCACTTTAAAATCAGGAACAAGACAAGGATGTCCACTGTTACCACTCCTATTCAATATAGTTCTGAACATATTGGCTATAGCAATTAGACAAGAGAGAGAAATAAAAGGAATAAGGATAGGAAAGGAAAAAGTGAAATTGTCATTATTTGCAGATGACATGATACTATATAGAAGACCCCAAAAACTCTTCTCTATATAGAAGACCCCAAAAACTCCACCAACAGGCTCATGGATTTAATAACCAAATTCAGTAGAGTGGCTGGATACAAAATTAACACTCAAAAGTCAATAGCATTCCTGTACACAAGTAACACACAGACTGAGAGAGAAATTAGCGAAACCACACCTTTCACAATACCATATAAAAAGATGAAATACTTAGGAATCAATCTAACAAAAGAAGTCAAAGATTTATACAGTGAAAATTATAGTACTTTGAAAAAAGAGACTGAAGAGGATATCAGAAAATGGAAAGATATTCCTTGCTCATGGATAGGAAGAACCAACATTGTGCAAATGGCCATACTCCCAAAAGTGTTGCACAGATTCAATGCAATCCCAATTAAAATACCATTAGTATACCTCACAGATCTAGAGAAAACATTCCTAAAGTTCATCTGGAACCAGAAGAGGCCTAGAAGAGTGAAAGCAATCTTGGGAAACAAAGGAAAGGTAGGAGGCATCACATTTCCTGACTTAAAATTATATTACAAAGCTACTGTGATAAAATCATCATGGTACTGGCACAAAAACAGACCTGAAGATCAATGGAACAGACTGGAAGATACAGATACAACTACAAACACACTCAGTCACCTTATCTTCGACAAAGGGGCCAAACATGTTCACTGGAAGGAAGATAGCCTCTTTAATAAGTGGTGCTGGCAAAACTGGCTTTCCACATGCCAAAGACTAAAACTAGACACATGTCTTTTACCATGCACTAAGTTAAAGTCAAAATGGATCAAAGATCTAAATATTAAAACAGAAATACTAAATTTATTGGAAGAGAAAGTAAGTAAAAATCTTGACAGTATTGGGGTAGGCAGAGAGTTCATGAACAAAAACCAAACTACACGGAAAATACTTCAAAGGATCAACAACTGGGATCTCATCTTTTTTTGTTTGTTTGTTTTTTGTTTTTCTTCCAGTACCGGGAATCAAACTCATGACCTTGCTCTTGCCAGGCAGGCCCTGTGCCACTGAGCTAAATCCCCAGCCCTGGGATCTCATCTTATTGAAAAGTTTTTGCACATCTAAAGAAATCACCAATAAAGTAAAAAGAAAACCCATGAATTGGGAAAAAATTGTAGGCAACTGCCCCTCAGCCAAAGGACTTCTACCTAGGACATATAAAGAATTTTAAAAAATCAGGCCCCCCAAATTCAAAGACCCAATCCAAAAATGGGCATCTGAGATGAATACACACTTCTCTAATGAAGAGATATTAGTGGCGAATGAATACATGAAAAAATGTTCAACGTCATTAGTCATTCAAGAAGTGCAAATTAAAACAACACTGAGATTCCATCTCACCCCTGAAAGAATGGCTATCATCAAGAATTCAACCAATGACAAATGCCGGAGAGGCTGTGGGGAGAAAGGAACCCTACTCCACAGCTGGTGGGAGTGTACATTGGTGAAACCACTGTGGAAATCAATTTGGAGATTCCTCACAAAACTAGGATTGGAAGTCCCATTTAACTGAGCTATTCCCCTTCTGGGTATCTTCCCAGGAGAATTAAAAACATCATACCACAGCAATATATATGCACCCATGTTTACAGCAGCACAATTTGTTAGAGCTAAATCTTGGAAACAACCCAGATGCCCATCCACTGACGAATGGATAAAAAAGTTGTGGTATTTTTATACAGTGGGGTATTACTCAGCTATTAAAAAAGATAAACTCGAGGCTTTTGTAGGTAAATGGATGCAACTAGAGACCATACTCATAAGTGAAATAAATCAGACCCACATGAGTAAACATCATATTGTCTCCCTGGTGTAGGAACACGAAAGACCAGGTAAAACTCAAAATGTACAATAGATGATAGGAAAGGGAAAGGAATTGCTGGAAGGAACAACTTGGAGGAGGGAAAGAAGAAAAAAGAAAGAAGGAAGGCAAAACATAAATATATATATGAATAGCTGCGATGACTGTATTGCTGATGTCTGATGGTGTATTGAAATGAACGGTTAATGTTCACAATTTTTTATGTTCTGATAGACTTTGCATGTTTGTGTCTGGTGGTCTGAGCAACTGATTTGAAGGTAACAATATGCAATGGAATTACAATGGTGAACTCCTACCATCTTGTCTAGTGAAACTCTGTATCTCTCTAATGTTTTATTGAAGAATTATTTTCTTATTCTCTTTAATGGTTTGAGCAACCTTTCATTCTTACATCTGATAATCTGAGAAATGTAGTTGAGGATAGCGATATGCAATGTAACAACCACTGTTGATTTGTATTAACTTATCTTGAGACCCTATATCAGTCTGAATATCCTTGCTTTGATTTATTTATGTTCGTAATACTGGTATGCTGGTACTGTTCTATTTTTTGTTTTTTCTTTCTCATGTACTACTCTCTTTAAAATAAAAAAAATTAAAAGAAAGAAAAAAAAGTTTTTTGGGGGAGGGATAGATTTTTAAGTTAGTTTTCCTTAAAACGTTTTGAAATACTTTTCTTGAAACCATATTTCACCATCTTGAATTTGCTGTAGACTTCTGTGTCCAACCGCCCAAACAACAAGGAAATATGCCCAGAAAGTGAACCTTTGCCAAAAACAACCATGAAGTAGAAAAAACACTGCAAACATTTGTATTTTTTCCTGCCAGTGTATTATCTCTTATTCTGAAAGCACAGGATATCTTTCCTCTGTCAGCTGCAAAAATATTATCTCTCAGCAGGAATGAAACAAGTGTGGAATATATATTATACTACCACATTACATGCATACCTAAGCAGAAAACAAAGAAAATAACCATTTAATATATAACTCAATTTTGCCTCCAGGGACAGATAAAAAATGTTTATTATAATACTCGAATGGTACAGTACATAAATATACATGGGAAATGGGATAGGGATGTTAGACTCTTTTAGCCAGATACTGATGGTTGAAAATCTATCATCTGATCCCATTTTAATCCTTCTTTCCCATAGAGCTGAAGTGGGTTATATTTTTATGAGAGACAGGAATTTTAGGCAAAGGAGACCAAAACTCATCACTATTTTTTTCCACAGATCATTGATTTTTAAATGTACATGAAAAGTATGTACTAGCTGGCATCTTTAAATTTCATTTTCAGCATCATGCATTATACAGTATACTTAATAAACAAGTAAAATATTAAAAATAATAACAGTCACTACATTGGGAATTTAATAACTTCAGATGATCCCAGGTGCTTAGCTATGTTTGATCTTTTGGAAATCAGTAAGTTTTCATTTGGAATTTAAATCCACTTTAATGAGCATTCTGCTAGAGGCAGTTTTAGTCAGGATCCTAGTTTATACAAACAAAAGTAATAGAGAATTCTACCTAGGTAACAATTTACAGTTAACTTTTGCAGGCAAATAACTGATTTGAATATATAAGTCACTAAAATTCCATTTTATGTGGTTCTTAAAATTTTTAAGTGCTTTTAACCAGAAAAGAGGTTACAGAAGGAGAGTGTTTTCAATGTAGAGAAATCTTCATATTGCTGTTATTTGCAACATTTCTGGAATGGCTCTTCCAGTACTTTACTGTCTTTCAAATCCCATACAGAGCAATAACATGACTTCCTTATAGGGAGCATATGAGAAGCAGCCTGTGATGATGCCACTGGATTTCCACATAAATTGCGTGTTTCACTGTTTCATCAAATTGAAATATGTGTCAATATGCAATACCCTATTTGTATCTTTGCATTCATTTGCCCTAATACAATGCTGATAGTGTTTTCTGCATTGTTTTTCTCCCTTTAAGAAGCCTTTTGGGGTGATAAATTTATCTCTATAAAACTAATTAGAAGCACCCTCCATAAAGCCAGGGGGCTAGATCTGCTGTTTTCTATAATCCATTCTGTTTTGGCTCTGAGTCTCAGGGACATAAGTGGCTCTGAGAGCCCCCAGAGAGTGTTCTGGAATGAAATAAAACCTGTGCGGTGATCAGTGTGGCCATGAGGCTCTGTTCTCTCTTGCACTGATGCTACCTCCCGGCTTTTTAAAATTATCACACACTTCATGCACCAATCTTGCTGCATTCCCTTTATAATTTACAGAAATCTTGATTAAAAAGCAGCTATTTCATTCTCTTCTACCCCTATGCTCCACAAAGGATCAAAAACTAGGCCTAGGGCCACAGGAGAGACAGCACCGAGTGAAACCTCCCATTTTTCCCCTCCTCAGCAGCTCTGTGACAAAATCTCTCCTTAAATTAAAGCAAACAAACAAACCAAAAACAAAAACAAAAACAAGGCAGATTACACACATAGATACCCAGGCACATTGTAAATCTCAGTTCACATTCTGCTGGGACCCCTACCCTACTAGTAAATATCCAGAGGTCCCCCAGTATCAGTGGAGAGCTTACTGTGCTGCTTAATGAACATTCTTTCATTACCTGTATGGGGAGAGCTTACCTGAGAATTAAGCCAGCACAGTGGAAAGTAAGCTGGGAGATGAAGTGATGCCTCTGTCAATATCAGCTGAGTCCCCAAAACCGGCATCTGTGCCTCTAGTTTCCCAGTAACTTGTGCTAGCAAATTCTCCTTTTGTCTAAGTCAGTTTGAATTAGATTTTGTCACTTGCAGCTGAAATAATAATTAATATATTAATCATGACAATTTTATTGGGCTATATATATTACATTGCTTCAGGAACTTGAAACAACAAATCACAGAGCTTCCCAGCCATAAACACTACAGCCCAATAAGTGACTGAATTAAACTTGTACATGTAGATCCCTCCCTAGTCACATCTATAAAAATCAGGAGAAGCAAATTTGAAGAAGGAACAAATTTTTCCATCTTGAAACATTGTATTAGGTGGAAGACATCTGCCCAGTGTCTAGGGCTGGGAAGATGAATGATTCCATTTTATGTTGTTATTAAATTGTATTGCTCTTCATTAAACTTAAATGCATTTAGAGGAATTAAGCTTCGCAAAAATTTGGCAGTGTAATATAAGCGATGATTCTTTGTTTATCTGACAACATCCTCCTGTGAGTTGATTCACAATTTTAATTTTGGAAAACAATATTTCCTTGATGGGGGCTGACAGGATGATGTGAACGGCTACATCACTTTGCATGAAGTCATACTAATTGTGAAAAGAAACAGAAGCCAAGTGACTTAACCCATTTTTCAAGGACTATTATGACAATAATGTTTCTATACTGTGAGACAGGATCACATCAGTTTAAGAACTGAAATTAAGCTTCAGAGGATGTTTTCCTGTCCTTTTTAAGAAAAGTACAATAGAACTCTATAAAGACAAAAACCCTAAATACATTTAGTGAAAAAATTTATTAGTAAAAACTGTACTAAACTATATATTAATATTAGATAATTATTAAGCACACAATGGTGATACACCAAACAGATACACCAAACATGACAAGCTAGGAAGAGAGGAAAGTATTAATTCAGTCACAGAGAATTAAAACTTCCATTGGGAGGTTACCTGAGTAAGGTACCTGCTACCACAGAAGCCCACACTGGGAGCTTTATCCTAACCAGAGAGACCAGGGAGGGATTTCATGTACAAGTGATATTCAACAGCTGAGTAAGCACTACAGTAACTACATAAGAGGGGGAAAAGCATTCAAGTTGAGGAACAAGTCTCTGTAGAGGTAGAAGGTAAACTAGGCTGGGCACTGGAGACCTGGTCAACCATGAGACCAGAAAAAGGTGGAGAAAGACAAGGGCTCTGGCAGAGCTTGAGTAATAAGACACTTCTGCTTAACACAGTGAGTGTACACCCTCAAGGACTTCAAGGGGGTCCTGGAATGATTGGGTTTACATGCTTAAAAAATCATCTTGGCTTCCATTGGATAAGAATTGGGGAAGAGAAGGTTTTACAGTACAGATAAGGAAAAATGGCAGCCAGGGCTGAGTAGGAGTGAAAAGACCACAACAAAGCAGTAACTGTTTTGGCCACTTATCCTTATCAAACATGTATTGAGAACCAGTACCAGGAAGTCCAGCTGTGGAAAATCTTTTTTTTTTTATTGAGACAGTTTCACTGTGCAGTTCAGATTGGCCTTGAACTCACCTTGTAGCCAAGGTTGGCCTCCTACTCACAGCGATCCTCCTGCCCCAGCCTCCCAACTGAGGAAAATCTTAAATACCTAAAATAGTAGGAAGAATGCTATAATGAATCTATATGTACACAACACCAAGCTCCAGCAACAATCATCTTGGGACCAGTCTTGCCTGATCTCCACTCATTTCTCTATTCTCATATACATTTTTAAAATTGTGGATACTGCAAACCTTCAGAAAAGCTATGAAAATAGCGCAATATTTGCCATTTATCCAGATGCATTAATTGTTGACATTTTGTTAACTTTGTATTACATAGAATATATGTATAGCATATGTATTTTGTATTGATTTATTTCATCATCTGCTCCTAAAAGATATCCTTCTATAAAAAATCATCATGGAATTATCATTCAGGAAACAAAATTATCTAAAAAATAGTCCACATTCTGTATTTCTCTTTTATCCCAAAAATGTCCTTTATAGCTATTACTTTCCCCAGTTCAGAAGAACCAAAACAAAGATCTTATGTTGCAATTTGTTGTCCTGTCTCTTAAGGTTCCATAAATCTTAAAGAATGCCTGAGTCCTTTTTGTTTTTCATGACATTGATGCCTTGTAAGACTCCAGGCCATTGCTTCACAGAATGGTCTTAACTGTGTTTGTCTGGTTGTTTCCTTGTGATTAAGCTTGGGTGAAACATTTTTGGCAGTACTGTGACATAGGCGTTATGTCCTTCTCAAGGTGTCACATCAGGAGCCACATGATGTCAGTTGCATTGTTATTAATGATGCTTCTTTCACTTTTTCAGCTGACTGAATTCATATCCTGTAGACCTAATCCATTACCGAGCAAACCAGACGAGGACTGCAAAATATAATTTCTATTTCCTCATGAGCCATCATAATGCCAAAAGACATTTACACAGGTCATTTATACAGACAAAGCTTTATTGGTTTTTATTCAGGAAAGCAGGATATAGATCATAAATCGACACTGATGGGGGATGAATATCCTGCAACAACTAGGAGAAATTAGCATGCTTAGGAATTAAAATCCTGACAGGTGAGAAGTGGAGTGTGGGGGTGAGGTACATGGCTGCAAAAGCCACATGCAGGGTAGTTGTCCTGATGCTACTGCTAACACCCTGAGTGACTTGGGGTGAGTTACTTCACCTTTCTGGATCTGCTTCCACATCTACATCCCAGGGAATCACAGAACTCACGTTATATGATTGGCAGAGCCCTGTGCTTTCGTGCGATGTCTGGCATGTGACAGCTTTCGGTCAGTGGTGTGATGATGTTGATGATGTTTCTAGTGAAGGACCACTAACCTCTCTGCATTGACTGGAAGAAGATGCAGAATCTTCTTCATAAAAAATATTACCTCAGGCAGATGGGGTGACACATGCCTGTCATCTTAGCACTCTGAGAAACTGAGGCACAAAGATTGCAAGTTTGAGCCCAGCCTGGGAAAACTTGCCAGACATTATCTTAAAAGGAGAGGCACTTGGGGGTGTAACTCAGTCCAAAGGCCCTGGGGTCAATCACAGAGATCTGTATTCTGAAATTTGGACTCCGTTAGAAATATAATATGAGAATATGTCAGTGTGTTCATGTAGAATCACTAGCATCATCACCCAATGAGAACTACTTAGAGCAGATGAATTTGATCTTAATAATTAGATGACCAGCATTAATATTTCCCAAAAAATCTACAGTAATTTTATCTATTTTTTTTTTTTTTTTTGGTGGTGCTGGGGATCTAACTGAGGGCCTTCTATATGGAATGCAAGAACTCTACCACTGAGCTACAACCCCAGCTCTTACACAGTAATTTTAATGATAAAATGCATCCAATATCACAGGAAGTTTCTTAAAAAGTTCTTATAGATCTAAACTGTTACTTAAGTATTTGTAGTATATTGTTTAGATGCATACAAACTTACAATTAAGTATAAACACCTTAAATTTGTAGCATTTTTACAATTATTAAAAAATGAATATTAAATTTAAACTAACAGAAACAATAACATTTAAGTTAATGGTATTAATTCAGTGTGATAGATGATATCATTTACCTAGTAACAAATTTCCTGCTCCATTTCTAACCTGGTCTGGTTCACCCCTCCTTGGGCAAGCTGGTGTTCCCCACTCCAGAAGGTCACCATATTGATGCCAAACTTAGTGCAGACACCCAATTGGCATAGCACACTGCAACCCAGAACTCCTGGGCTCAAGTGATCCTCTCACCTCAGCCTCCCACAAAGCTAGGACTACAGGCATGTGCCACTATGTGCAGCCAAACTTCCACTCCTAACATGGGACCAACTGACACAATATAGGTTATTTTTAATCCAGTAAATTATACCTCTGGGCCAGATGATGGTTTTACTTATTTGATGAAAGGTAAAAACTTTTGTTAACAAGACAGTGACTTCATTGGTCTTTGTCTCAAATACCTCAGTTGAGAGTAAAATTTTCCCTTTCTCTTTCTCCTTCTCCTTCTCCTTCTCCTTCTCCTTCTCCTTCTCCTTCTCCTTCTCCTCCTCCTTGTATTAATATAGTGATACCTTGCTGGTCTAAAGGCTCTAAGCTCAAACTTTCCACTACTCACAAAACAAAGTTTAAAAAGAAATCTTCTTGGTGTTTTTAACGTTGCTTGATGGTGGAGCTGAAAATCTCACTTGAAAAAACCTGATGGATGGAGTGAATGACGTGTCACTCTCACTAGGGACACAAAGGAGTGATGCTTCAGTCTAAGAGCCTCTCTTGTCCAGACAACTATATTGCTTGTGTTACTGTGTTAAAACACTAACGCTGCTGGAAGAGAGAATAGGTAGGACTCTTGAAGATCCAGGTGTAGGCAAAGACTTCATGAACAAAACCACAACTGCACAAGAAATGCTACAAAGAATCAACAGCAGGGGTCTCATCTTGTTCAAAAGCTTTTGCACAGCAAAAGAAATCACCAACAGAATGAAAAGATAACCCACAAGTGGGAAAAAATCTTAGCCAGTTGTTCTTCAAACAAAGGACCTATATCTACAACATATGAAGAACTTTTAAAAATCAGATCCCCCCAAATTTAAAGACCCAATCTATAATCCATAAATGGCCATCTGAAATGAATAGACACTTCTCAGAAGAAGTACAAATGACAAATAAATACATTAAAAATGTTCATCATCACTGACCATTTGAGAGATGCTAATTAAAACAACACAGAAATTCCATCTCACCCCAGAAAGAATGGCTATTATCAAGAAGTCAACCAATAACAAATGCTGGAGGGGCTGTGGGGAAAAAGGAACCATTCTCCACTGTTGGTGGGAGTGTACACTGGTCCAATCACTGTGGAAATCAGTATGGCAAGTCCTCAAAAAACTCAAAATTTGACCCTGCTATTCCCCTTCTTAGCATCTTCCCAAAAGATTTAAAAGCATCATACTATAGTGAGATATGTACACTGTTTATAGCAGCAAAAATTGTAATAGCTAAATCTTGGAAACAACCCAAATGCTCATCAACTGATGAATGGATAAAAAAGATGTGGTTTTTTTAATACAGTGGAGTACTATTCAGCCATAAAGAAGGATAAACTTGAGACATGGGTAGCTAAATGGATGGACCTTGAAACCATACTCTTAAGTGAAATAAATTGAACATTTATGTGTAAATATCACACTGTCTTTCTGCTGTGAGAAACTTAAAGTGTAAATAAGAACCAAAATATATAATAGATATTGTGAAATAGGAAGTAATTGCTCAAAGGGAAAGGGGAGTTGAGATGTGGAAAGGAAAGGAAAAAATGAGAAAAAAAAAGGATACAGTGCAAACAAAGCTTTGTGAATAAGAAGAGGAAGAGAGGTTGAAGGGAGGGGAAAGGAAGAGGAAAAAAAGAAGAACTAAGACATATCATGTACAGGTACAAATTCCCATGATGAATGTAATCCTTCTGTATATCTAATTGTACCAAACTTAATTATAAAAAATTCATCATTGTGTTTTGTGTGTGTGCTTTATTTGCATAAAATATCATAACCATGGTTCCAAAGAAAGTTAGTGATATGAGCAGTAAAACTAAGAGGAAAACTGAGACCCATGATAGGGCTAAAGAAAGAAATCATTGTGAAATTTGTTAAAAGTCCTGGAAAACTGCATTTATACGTGTAATGTTTGGGCCTCAGAACCAATTATTTGGTTTTCCATTATTTCTTATGGGAAAAATATGTTCAATTCTCAAACTTTTTGGTGTTTGAACAAGAATATGGATGAACTGAGTTAAACAACCAAGGTATTACTGTGTTACAATAAGGCCCCAGGAAAACAGAAATGTATGCGCATATGTCAAAATCAGTTGTCTGTATTCAGTATTGAGATAGTCACTCCAGTAACCCACAATTGTTTAGACTTTAGGTCAAATGGGACCTCTAATCCTAGTTTTTTGAGGACTCTCCACACTGATTTCCACAGTGATTGCACTAGTCTACGCTCCCACCAACAGTGCAGAAGTGTTCCTTTTTCCCCACAGCTCCTCCAGCATTTGTTATTGGTTGACTTCTTGATAATAGCCATTCTTTCTGGGGTGAGATGGAATTTCTGTGTTGTTTTAATTAGCATCTCTCAAACAATCAGTGATGTTGAACATTTTTAATGTATTTATTTGTCATTTGTACTTTTTCTGAGAAGTGGCTATTCATTTCAGATGGCCATTTATAGACATCTACTAGTAAATTAGAGAGAAAGGAACACAAGTACACTGTCCAGTATGCTATCTGGACAAAACTTAACATCAGATTGTTGTGGGAGGAAGGAATTTGAGGGGAGATACAGGAACAACTCCCCAAACATCTCATGTATGTTTCCTGCCATGAGCAAACACAAAGGACACAAAAGTTTGGGAGGGAAAGATAATAAGGGCACTTGGTCATGTTGAATTTAAGGCACCTGTGAGACTACGTCTTACTTCTAATACCGTCGGATGTGTAGAACTACACAATCATGAGTCAGGACTTGCTTGGACATAACGGTCTGGGAACTGGAAACAAGTGCTTGTTGCCCCACCTAATATCGATAAGATGATGGTCCACATCAAGAAGCAGATAATGAGAGAGGAAGAAAGCACTAAAAGAAGCTAGACAATGAACCGGCCCGTTAGAGGCAGCTGTATGAATAAATGCATATGTGTATACACAAGTACAATACACTCAGGATGATCTATACCAGTGGGGGGAAACTGTAAAGCACATAATAAGAAATACCAATAGAAAAATCATATATTCATCTTAGCGGAGGCAAGGCGGAGAGAAGGCATACAAAAGATTTACTTCTGTTTACCAGAACTTAGTTTGTTCTCCCAGAAGCCACATTAACTTGGACAGAGGCAAAAAATGGCTTGGAGAGTGGTAGTCACCGCTATTGCCTGTTCAGTATTCACCCCCTCACACTGCCTGTTTACTAATGGAAGCTTAATTTTTCTCAGGGTGGTGATGTAGTCTCAGCCAAAAACGCCATTTTTCAACCCCTTTCACACTTGTCACAGCCATTTGACATAATTCTGTCCAATGTAATAAAATGAAATCAATGGCTCGCACTTCAGGGACAGTTCTCAAAAAGGTACATGGAACTGGCTGAGAGGATCCTTTATCCTTAACTTTTATCCTGCCCCAACAGAAGGCTGGAGGAGGAGCGTGAGTGTTATGATCCAAGACCCTAAGATCATGACAATTACTGAATCCAAATATAGAAAGGTCCAAGGGGTTCCCAGAAGTCCCTGTATCAGCCCTAGACTTCCTTACCTCCAGACATAACTCATTACATGAGGCCTGGTGGATTTCCAGCAAAAAAGCCCTATTTGAAAATCATCTCAGGTTAAAAACTCCCTCTAGAAAACCTGCAAAGTTAATGGAATATCCAGGGAAAAAATGGAGGCTTGATTCCCACCTAGATGCAATTGGGAACCTCTCATTCCTACAGCAAGAGCCACCTGCTTCAGCCCTTAACGAAACAAAATGAGAGAAAGCGGATTAACTGACCGTGCACCAGATCTCCCAGTTCTAGCATCCTCTGCTATGTTCTCCTTTTGCTTTTCATCTTTTCCTTCATCCTTCACCTAATAAAAGAATAAAATGAACAATAAAGTGTGAATACCATTATTCATTAACCTTCAGCACCTCTCATTGTCCACCCAATTAAGCACATGTGGGATAATTTATGGAACTATTAATCTGTATTTTGTACTGCCAGTGCTTCCCTCCCCTACTCCAAGTAAGGAGTCAGCCTAATTGCTGCCAGGGGAGTGTGAGGCAGAAGCTTGAAGCACAGTTCCTATGCCCTGCCTGGTGGCTGGTCTTTGAATTCCTGCAGTGGGTTATGTGGGGGCGGAGAGGTAGCAGAGAAGCAGATGTGGTGAAGGACAGAGACCTCCCTACACTAGGAAGGTGTGGCGGTTTCCACAAACATCAGGAAGCACTGTCCTGCCTCTGCCATTACCTAGGGAGAGGACAAGGCCTCTAAGGGGTGTGATGTGCGGTGAATGGAGGGAGGCCATGCCCCTGCCAACAGGGCTCCCATTGTGAAGAAAGACACCTACAGGCCAAAAATAACCAGAAGCGAAGTCACTGCCACTCAAGCATCTCTAACAGTTTTGACAGTAAGATCACCATCATGAGCCAAAAATTAGGGGCAGTGCTTGTGTTTTTCAAGGCATTAGTATCATCTACTGCATACTGAGGGAGAGACAGCCCCGTATCACAAGCACGGTAAGCAGACGAAGGAGAGGAGTATCTCACATAACCTTAGTGGAGTCTACTGGTGTGCAGGGCCTCAACACCAGTTTCCTCCATCTGGTGCTTGGGACATTTGGCTTTTCTCTTCCTGCCTGTACCCTACACATCACGCTACCCTGTCTCTGTTCTTTCTTGGAATTTTCGGTCCTGTTGCAAATAAGCATTCACTCATTCAACTGAGCATGCCCATCTTTCATATTCTCAGATACTTTCTCTTCATTAGCCTTCCTGATCTCTCTGATAAGCCATAATGTCCTCAATCTTCTCCATCTTCAAATGTTGCATTTCTCTTAGGATATTTACTCTTCAGACTCTGTCTTGCAATCCCCTATCTGCTTCCCTACTTTGTATACATTTCTAAAAGGTCACCAAATACTCACTTTGCAGCCGAAGACCATGACTGTTTGCTTCCCAAGTACCTAGCATAGTACATACGCAGTGATAAAAACCACAGTATTTAAATTAAAAATGTGTTGCAGTAAAAGACACATTGTCATTAATCTTCCTCAAAATACTCAACATACTTCCCCTCATTCCAAATCATTTTTGGCAGTGTGTCCTTTACTGTAATAAGTATTTTTTTCAATTTAAACATTCCCTGTATCTTTTAATCACCCTTTGTACATGTCCTCATTTATCTAGCAAGTATTTTGTGAGCATCTACTGTGTCCCAAATCCCAGCACAGGAAATGAACAGCACATGGACCCTGTCTGCCATGGTTTAAGAATGAAGTATCCCCCTAAAGACTTATGTATTGAGGGCTTGATCCTCGATGCGGCAGTGTTCAGAGATGTGGTCCAGAGAAGTCACTAGAGTGTGACGGCAGTGTGTTGGTTTGGGGTTTTTTGCAAGAGGAACAATATAATACAGGACACATATTTTATAAGATTATTTATAATAGTCACCAAAAAAATCATATATAAGAGAGTACAGGCAATCTGTCCACACATTATAGACCAAGAATCCAGCTGAGGGTCTAGAGCCTACAAGCCTACTGTCTCCTACAGGCCTGTTTCACGGATCTATGCTAGGAAGGCCCAAAGGTCAGTGGTGGAATATAGAAAGTCTGTGCCAGTGGGATGAAGGATCTATGCTAGCAGGCTGAGGGACATACACTGGAGCCAGGAAGCAATGCTCAAAGTAAAAATCAGAGCTCCTCCAAAAAAGTACCACAGCTATCCTCAGCAACAATGAAGTCCCAAGCTCCTCTGATGATCAGGATAACCAAGGTCCCATCAGAAAAGCTAATGCAACAACTTCTCAAGGAGACTGAGCAGTGCACCATTTTCCCCTCTGGAGCCAGGAAGTGATGCTCAAAGTGAGGACCAGAGCTCCCCCAAAATGAACTGAAGCCATTCTCAGCGCCAGCAAGGTCCCGAACTCCTGGAAGGATGAAAACAGCTGAGTTCATCAGGAAAGCCAGCATGAGGAGCTCCTCTAAAAAAACCCAACACCTCCTTACAGCTTCTAGCAGTTCCCAACAGCCTTTTCTCTTCTCCAGTTCTGCCTCTCATGCTGCTGGCAACAATCCCCAGGTGGGCCTCCCACACCCAGCACCACACTTATTCAGTTCAGCTGGGTGTTATAAGTTGACCACCAGATGTCCATCCACCACAGGCACCAACCTCATCAAGAGGTTAATCCATTGATTGTTCAGGGAGGAGTGAGCTATTAGGGGGTAGCACCCAACTGGAAGAAGCATGGCACTAGGATCCTGCGTGTAAAGGGTGTATATCGTCCCTGGCCTCTTCTTTAACTCTTTGCCTCTCACTCAGCCTCCTGTCTACCATGAAGGGAGCAGCTTTCTTCTGCCACGCTTCTCTGCTGTGATCTTCTGTGTTAGCAGGTCCAGAAATAATGGAGCCATTACCTATGGACTGAACTCTCCAAAACTGTGAGCCCAAATAAACCTCTCTTTCTTTAGGTTGGTTTTATCAGCTGTTTTGTTGCAGTGGCAGAATGCTAACTAACATGCGGTCCTTGAGGTTTTAGAAGTCTGTGTGTTATACTCAAGGCAAACTGACTTGTAAACAGTAAATTCTCAGTGAGTGTTTATCCATATTAATTGTTTTTTATTTGGAAGCACCATTCAGCTACTAATAGGAAAGTTAAGCAAAATGGAGAAGATAATTATGTTGGGTAGAGAGTGTCTGGATGCTACAGAATATGCTCTCTAGACTGGAGTGGAACTCTTACACTTAGCAGGCATAATATAATAACAAGAAAAGCTTAAAAATGTGGTTTAATCATTTTCATTTTTAAAAGAGATAATATAGCTTTCATTTTCAAAGCAAACGTGCAAATAAAAATATTATTGCAAATTACTTAAAATCCATGAAAAAGTCTGAATGGAAGGAAAAAGCTACTTTTGCTTCCCAGAGCTTCACTGCTGCTTGGAATTTGCTGTTATGTAGAATAAGACCCCATCACACGTTTTGGACAGATCAAGAAACATTTGCTGGAGACTCCGCACAGGCCACAGTTAGGACAGGATCCCTGATCTCCCTTCCCACGCTTCTCAGGCTCTTTTTTCTTCGCAATCCCCCATTCTACAGATTTCACTAGCATTTGGGGGAAAGCTTCCTGTTTTCATTCTCCAAGTAGTTACACATTTAATATCACAGTGGCTAGTGAAAAATGGAGCTGGAACCAAGAGGCCTCAGTTCATTTGGCCATTTATTCATTCAACAGATATTTCTGAGCCTTTGCAATGTGTCGGGCATTGATCTAAGCCCAGAAAACAGTCATGATAAAAAGACAGTGAGCTCTCTACCCACAAGAAGCTTACATTTTTGTGACGGCATAGAATCCGCAAGTACACAGATTATCGAGAAGAGCCTAGATAGATGCTATGAAAGAAAGACATGGAGTGATGTGATGATGTCATTGTAGAGGAGTACTTAGAGTGCGGTTGTGATATCCACGCAATCTGACAGATAACTGGGAAGGTGATAGATTCCAAGGAAGAGCGTTTCTGACATCACACCGTTGATACGTCCAGAGCGCACAAAGGAGGTCAGCGTGGCAAGAATGGAGAGCCAAGAGGAAGCACTCTAGTTAGGCCAGGAGAGATGGATTAGCTCATGAGGACCTGGTAGCCACCCTAAGTTTAAATTTTTATCTAAGAGTTTAGAATGTACTTGATATCCTTTAAGTAGACGTATAAAACTATTTCACTTTAAAAACATCAATATGACTACTTGGTGGAGAGTGGAATTAGAAAGAGCAGTTAGGAGACTACGACGCATATTCAAGAGAGACAAGGGGGAAATTTGATTCTTTGGAGCTGGAGCTTTTTAGGACTTCCAGATGGACTGCACGTGGGTCACTCAGACGGCCGTGGACATTGGCTGGAAGACTTGGGCGGACGGCAGTGCTCTTCACGGACATGGGAAAGCACTCGGAATGTGGCTGGCCCAGTCCTGGCAATTTCGTTTCTTTAACTGTGAAATGAAGGTGTTGAAAGAAATGGGATTAGACAGCCCCGGTCACTTCCTCAGCACCAAAATATCACAGTTCCACTGAATTTTAGGATACAAGTATGTTTGGCGTTTTCAGTGGTGGTGGAGGGGCTTTCCGTTATGAGAAAAAACAAACTCTGGAATGCAGACTTGGACTCAAATCAAAGCCCCAGGACAGCAAATTGACCTTACGTGCCTCAGCGTCCTCATCTGCAAAGTGGAGCCATGAAGGAGACCGACCCCCACCTGGGGGCAGAGAGGGCCACGCAGTGTGAGTTTGCAGTGTGGCCCCGGGAATAGAGCGGTGCTCAGCTGATCACGCTTCCTCCTTTGGGACAGATTAAATTCGGCTTCTCCTCTTCTACTTCGCTTTGTCGGTCTCTGGCCTCGGTGACTTCGCTGTCTGTGAGAAACAACGAACCCCAAGACCGAGGAGGTCGGAGTCCCCCTACCCCCGGGCCCTCCTCGCTGTCCTGGGGCGCCGGCCTCCCGGCGGGGCTCTGCAGACCGAGGGCCTCGGGAAGGCCCG